TGCATACAATGACCCATCATTTATCTTAACTAAGTTCAAAAGAGTCATTGATAACTGTTATGTAGACAACATGTTTACGTCATATTTCCCCCGTGCTGTGAACTCTAGCAGACGCTGCGTTAGTATTGGGCGTGGCTTATTCCTTTTTATCTTGTTTACCACAAACCAATCTATCGCCTGTTTTTCTTGACTCGAATGCTGTAGAAAAGGGTAGTAAATTGTAGAATGTTCGAGTCACTAATATAATGCGCAATACGCTTTGAAATTTTCTATGGAATAGACTATTAATGGCAAGCAGACTGCAGAGCAGATTCGCAGACAGCATGTGTGAGGGTTATTTTTGAACGTGGGAGAGTTTGTTTGCATTAGACTTCTTTTCATTGTTTGTACATTTTTGCACACTGTGTTTTATTTCGACATGGTACTGGTACCAGCCACACAATACACTGCAGGGTTAATAGTTTTTAATTATATTACTTTTTTACTTTATTATTAATTTAATAAAACTTATTAATTGTAATTAGCCCTGTTCCGAGTATCATATTATTTGTTATTGTTTTCATCTTTTGGTATCGTCTTTTGTTATGCACTGTTTGTAACGAGCCATATATGTAAATAGGAGATTAATTTCTCCCTACAGACAACGGTGTGTAACAATAACCATTGAATTTCATATCTTGCTCCATCATTCAATACATAATAAGAATAGAAAGTAGAGCACCCCATCAAAGATCCAGTTTGGAGGATCTATTTCCTCATAGTACGTTATCACCATACCTGATCACACTAGTTAAATTTAAAGAAGGGCCCATAAACTTGAACCGTTACAATCTAAGCCTAATGTGTATTTGTGTAACCTTTTAACTATAACACAGTTTCAGTTATATATATTACCTTTTGTAAGCAAACTATTATTCATATCAATTTTCAGATATTTATATGAAATTGGGAGTTGTTGTTTTTTTTTTTACACATAACCACTGTTTTTTTTACAAATTTAAAGTATCTACTTTTATCCATATGACGGACCTGTTTACTCTTACGATTTTGCATACAATGTACGATTTTGAGGTGTATACATTATATATATTGTATTTTTATTTTTTTACTATTAAGATAATGTATTGAATGATTTTGTGATTGATATTGTACGATTTTAAGAGTTTAAGGGCAAACAGGTCTGACATGATAACACTTTGGCTGATGAGATATTATTATGCATTTAATTTATATTTTATCTATTTAATCATAAAGCATTGTTAAGTAACTATTTTCAACTAAATAATCCCTATAAAAGTAATAAACATAAAAGAAACTTAACTTCCGTAGTCAAAATGTTAATTTTAGCTAGGTGTTTAGCACCTTTTAAAACAAAGATCTGTTATAAAGTGTGTCTTTTAAGCTTATGAATTTCAGGCTAAAATTTTTTATTGAAATACCTATATGTTTGTTTTTTTAGAGAATATACACACAGTTTTTTTTTAGAATATCTATGCACAATTTTTTTGAAAAATGAATGTACCCAGTATATAAATATAGGTAATAGATTTTCTTTTCTAAGTAAAAGTGTTGTCACTTTGCATTATATGTCTATGGGGCCCTAGTTCTTAAACTGTGATTGAGACCATGTCCTGTAGGACAGAGGTTCCAAAATTTTTAACCTCCATAGCAATAAATACGAAATAAACACAAGGTAGAGAAAAAAACTGAAAAAGGACAATACAATAAAGTGAATGTTTTGGCTAAGAAGCCCTTGTCAGCAAAGATACACAGACAGAATAACTTAGCTGATATAGATATTGAGTTGACCAGAAATGGAAGAACCGAGAATTATGCCGCCACCCTTTCACAAAAAACTCTTATTCAATTGGCCGAAAATGCTGCCCCTCCGTATAAAGAAAAAAGTCCCGCCTGCTCCAAACTTTTTTCTTATGCCACTGCATGGGAAGCATTCATTTTGTCAAGTGTAATGTGTAATAACAAAATTTCTGACAAGAAGTTCAGATGAACTAGCAAGGTTTGTTTAGAAAAAACTTGAGCTCATTTTCGCATGCACCCCTTACAGTTTGACAAGCCCTAGGGCAGTTTTATAAAATTTATTTTTTAAAAATAAATTAATTTTCTTACCTTCTTTGCAATTACATCAGTGTCATGCAAGTTATCCCTCTTTTTTCGTGCAAACACTGATAGATAAAAATTGCACTCTGACTGACCAAAAAAAAGAAGAAGTATTCCTTACAAACCAAAGTTTTGCGCAGTAAATTTTTGGCCAAGCTCCACTCCAGGCTAAATTTTTATTTAGCTCCAGCTCCGCTCTGAAGCTCCTTCAAAACTTACAAAATATATTATATATTGAGTTTGCATATAATCTGTATTAAGCCTAATCAGCCATTTTTCAGATTAATTGGTAATTAGTCCTTTATGACCAAATTAGTCCCATGGTTCTCTTTTTACCTCTGGCTTAAATTATTTACAACATTAATGTGCATTTAAATTGCTACAATGACTTAAAATATAATGCATTCAAAATATCAAGATTGTTATTTTTCTCTGAGAAAGGGATGTTAAGTCCTTAATGACATGTGTTTATTATTGTCACTCACCAATCTTATTAACAAGGCATTAGAAATGCTTTTACCAGTAACATAGCTGTAAAAGGGAGGGGTAACGTAGATGATAGATGAGTTGGTCAGCATAGTTGGTAGAAGTGTGGGCCAACATAGTTGGTAGAAAATTGGGGCAACATATAATATATGTAGAAGAGTGGGGCAATAACTGTAGAAAAGTGAGGCATCACAGCTGTAGCAGTAGAAGAGTGGGGCAAGATACCTGGTAGAAGAGTGGGCCAACATAACTTGTAGAGTATTGGGGGAAACATAGCATAAAATATTGGGGGCTACAAAATGTAAAAGATTGTGGCATCGATTTTAATAATTTAATTAAATTAATTAGTACAAATTATTTTTATTTATTAAAAGTTGTGTAGCTTAGAGCTGTAAGAAATTGTACAAGCTCTGCTCCAGCTAAAAGACTTAAGCGCTTCACTCCAACATCCCTGTTACAAACTGTGCTATTTGCCCCCTATTTCAGATCAACTGTTTTATTCTCCCTTTCCCTTACCATGGGAAATGAAACCAAGCACTTTTGTACTTTAACTGATCACTTCATTATATTTGGACCTTGTGGTCATTTCATTCTAGTTGGACCTTGTGATAATTTTATTCTAGTGCCTTTTGTTCCCAAAAATTTATCCAAAAAAAAAAAAACAACAAAAAAACCGAACACAATTGTTCAATTTTGAACGTGTCAGTTTTAGGCTAAAATTTTTAATTGAAATGCTTAAAAGTTAAAAGTTTAATGATTTTTAAAAAAAAACAACATGTTCACAATTGTTTTGAAAATTTAATGTACCCAGTAATTTTTCCTCTGGCATTGTTGGTGTGTTTATATTTTGATCTTCAGTTTATAGTAATCTTTTTTGGCAGTGCTGATATATATTCAGTTCTTTCCCAAATCTGACAGTGTAATAAGATGTTAATTATATTCCTTCTAATCATGGCACACTACCCATAGTTTTATCAGAGAAATGTAAACATCGTTAACTGTAGTCTCTTATGAGTTGATCAAAAATTGGTGCTTTCATCACCACCAAATCCATAAATATTCAGATTATTCATATCTTTCTGATGAGCATATCATGCGTGTCAACAGAGCTCTGAATCTCCATGGTCAGTGAGAAACTTGAACCACCCACTCCCTCTTCATATAATCTTAAACTATGTTATGGATGTTGTAAGAAAAATTAGTCTTCTCACACTGACAAAATGACTGAGGCATAAACAATCCCGTGATGAAAACATGAGTGGGGTTTTGCCCATGAGAAGTTAACTTATGGGTGGCAGAGTTAGTTTTAACATGCTGTTAGGGTTTTATTTATTTCATTATTGGTTCAAAAAGCACATCATGTTTTTTTCTTTTACTTTATCTACTTAACCTTATTAAATATCGTACTGTAAAATCTTATTGAAACATGCACAGTTCTGTTTTATAAAAGATTGTGTTAAATTTTAAGGGCAAAATAAATATGGTTTTGTCCTTTGAAATTTGCTTGTGTCAATACCACAGTGTGTTGTGGGATTTATAAATTCCAGTACAGTCATTACAAAGAGAAGAATGGTTTCTTCTGTCAAATATTGAAACAGGGGTTTCCCAACCTAGGTCTTTTGCACCTGCAGGGGGTTCAACATGGCATTTCGAGGAGCGTGAGGGAGAGTATCGTAAGGGCAGAGGAGCATTTGAAGTTGTGCTATAAACATTTATATAGTTTTTAATTTCCATATCAACATTTTAGTTTGATGTCACAAGTTGACTTTCTAAGGTGAAGAGTGATATAAAGGGTTGTAAACTTGGGAAACCATCATTTAAATGTTTACTGATAAGAAAAATAATTCTGAAAAATAAAATTTGTGATATAAAGCCTACTAAAATATGCAGCAAAATTTTGCTTTGATCACATGCCTCTGCTGCTCCTAGCCAGCAATAAAAAAAAAGCTGTGCATTCATACCCATTGACATAAAGCACCCCCAACCCAGGGGATCAGAATGCCGTGGGTGACAGCTAGGAGTAGGTTCATAACATTTGTTGCCTTTTGTTTTGATCACATGCCTCTGCTGCTCCTAGCCAGCTATAAAAAAAAAGCTGTGCATTCATACCCATTGACATAAAGCACCCCCAACCCAGGGGATCAGAATGCCGTGGGTGACAGCTAGGAGTAGGTTCATAACATTTGTTGCCTTTTGTTTTGTTTTTTTAAATCAATGGTTAATGTGTTAAAATTATTTATGGGATACAGATGGAAGGGACGCAATGGGGTGCCTAATTTATTTGGTGTGCTTCAGTTGATTACAAAAGTACATCCAATTATGAATTATCATTAACTAAAAATGAACATTCAAGCCATGGTCATTGACTTCATTTCAGGCATTTGATTGATTAATGACTGACTTCACACCATGAACTCTGGGCAAGAGGAACAAGTAAAGAGGGTAGGTTGCCTTTCTTTGCTACCATTTAGTTTTCGTTTTTACAGATGTTTAATTTTTTTGCATTATTTTCAACCCCGAACTTTTTATAGTTTAAATTAATCTTTATAGTTTAATTTCTTAGTATAACATTTAATTTGCGGCTTTTTAAATTTGAACAAAAGTTACGCGAATCAGTTAAATAGTCAATGTATCCTAAAAAAGCTGTAGTTTTGAGCCCAGTTGTCAGTTGGCCACCTGTGTTTAGGACTCAATGGAGCGGATGCTTAACTCATCTTCTGTATTGTTTGAGAACTTTTTAAATATTAAATAACTCTTAGAAATAAAATTGCATTTTATTGTAATATGCAGGGTGATGGTTGTTCAGTGGGTTGGTTTTTTTTCCCCAATCATGAAATCTGAAATCAGTATGCTAAGACAGGCGTCACCCTTAGGTTGGTGAGATGCTCACAAAATCAGGAATCTGCCAAACCGTGTTTAACGGAACAATGTCACTTGGGTTAATGATGAAGCAGAGTGGTTTCAGCTAACCAGGAGATAACTCATGTTTATATAATGTGTACTTTCTCTGTGTGTTGTATAGTAAAAGAAAATGTCCCTTGGCAGAGATGATCCATTCGCTGAAAAAGTCGTTTTTAATTTAGATAACCGATTCATGAAGGTGGATATTAGTTTGTTCATTTTTTTTTTTAATTTTAATTGAAAATTTTGAATCTTATTAGTGATAGGAATTCTCGCATTTTTATTGTGTGTGTGTGTGTGTGTGTACCATTTTGTATTGAGGTCAGCATTAATCTAAGAGACCGGGACGTCATTTTGGGTAGGGCAGGGAGGGGGCACCCCCACCCCCTCCCCTTGAATGTGCAAGATTTTGTTTTCACTAGTCATCAGTAACGAAGACAGCAGAAAATCAAACGTAGCAGAAAATAAATACGGGTAAAAAAAAGTAACTATTGGTTCATTTAAAATTAACATTGAAAACATCAATCACAATCTGGCAATTCTTATTTAAATTGATATGTTCTGTGGCGCCTCCAGTAATAAACAACTGAAAATGCCGGCCAAGTTTTGGTTTTTGCGCCCCCCCCCTCCCCCCGTTTTTTTTTTCTTGAAAAAACCTGCTGAAATGACGTCCATGCTAAGAGACTATGAACATTACCAAAAGTTTATTGTTGGAAGCTTTCTCCAATACTGTAATGTTGACATTTACAATGCGTGTGTGTTATGTGATCTGATCTAGGCCACTAATTCTAGGTCGCCCATAATTCAATGCGTTCGCTTGGCTTCCAAAACTTCCTCCAAAACACTAATGCAAAATGAAAATTGTCTGGCAACACCCTAACCTCCCAGCCAATATTCACATAATGTTATGATAATATGTAGTCTGTGAACTTGTTGATTCTAGACAACGCAGGAATACCGTGATTATAATGTCACGAGGCGTTCTGTACTGAACTGATGAATATTTATAGCACAACGCCATGAATTTTTCTATGGAATGCCAAATCGAAGGTTTTTTTTTTTTTTTTCTTTCTAAATTTTGCCATACAAGAATGATAAGAGGAGACGGCAAGGCATGCATAATGATTCTGTCGCCTTAGCAGTGCTGTGTTGGTCTGGGTGGCACTATTTTTCTATTGAATGCCAAATCGAAGGTTTTTTTTTTTTTTTCTTTCTAAATTTTGCCATACAAGAATGATAAGAGGAGACGGCAAGGCATGCATAATGATTCTGTCGCCTTAGCAGTGCTGTGTTGGTCTGGGTGGCACCATTCTGTCAGGCGTAAGGCAACTGTTGGGACACTTATCTTACAGTGTTGTTTCGTCGTTTTGGTCAGATTTGTTGATATATAATCCATACGATTGGAAGGGTCACGCGGGCTGTTTGGTGATTGGTCAGGTGGGCCGAAGAATGTGTTTGTGTGTTGGGAATGTCTGAAACACTATTACTATTAAGGGGTGTGAAGATATATACATATATATTTTTTTTTTTTTTTGTTCTGTTCGTTTGTCTATGGACGGATTCAATTTTTAACTGCGCGTGGAAAGAGGCAGCTATTTCCAAGCCCAGACAGTTACACAACGTAATTTCCCCTTGTCAGTACAGAGTTAAGTCCATGTCGGTTTTTGGCGTTTTATAAAGACATTCCTTTATTTTTTTATTTTGTATCCTTCGTTAGATCTCACTGGGGCCTCTATAGAAAGAATTGTGTGTGTCCTGTATCTGCATTCAATGCCGTTCATTAAAGGGAACTTCAACTAATCAGTCTTATAATCTTATAGCTAAGACTTTGGTTTTAAAATATAACATTTGCTTTCCCTACGCTAGAATCACGACCACGTGTTTTCTTATTCATCTCAAAAAGAAATTATAAGGAAATTCAACTGTACAGTCTTGCCACATAGCGCTATTTATAGTGGGGGGGGGGGGGGAGGCAAGACTGTGTCTTTAAAACAAAGCATTTGCTTTTTCTAACGCTGGAATCTAACGTCGCATCGACTTCTCATTAAACATCTGAAAAGACATTAAAAGGGAACGATGACTTCATTTTCAGGAGTAATGCCATGGGGGGGTTGTGGTGGTGATGGTGGCCGCGGTGCGGGTTTTCTAGAAAAATAACAAAATGGCTTCATGAGCGTTAAGCATGCATAATATGACAAGTCCACTCACTTGAAATGCGAAAAAAATGGAAAGATAGTTAAGATAGTGTATTAAAATTGTATTCAAGGTAGCTCGGAGAAAGAAACAGTGCCCGGTAGTTGAATGTGTTTATCGTTATGCGGCAGTGTGCACATACATAATTCATCAACAAATGCATTTATTAAATTCAAACATGATCGTGTGCACAACTCTGGATGTTAGATCTTGTGAAAGAAGGTTGTCCCCTTTGAAGATTGCGGGCCTGCATGATAAGTTTCGTATGAGGCAAGGGATCTCAAACTAATTTTTGGGATCATCATTCCCTGGGAGTGGGGTTCCAACAAAAAACTCTCTCTCTCCCTCTCTCTCTCTCTCTCTCTCTCTCTCTCTCTCTCTAGCTATATATATATATATGCAGTAATTGAGATAGATTATTTTTAAATATATATATAGTATATCTATTAACTATTATATTGTGACGTTGTATCACGAATCAAATTGACCGCACGTATCCATTTAATCAGCCGGAATTGAAATCTAAGCATGACGCTCTACACTCCCTAAATAGAGTTGGTTGATATTAACTGCATGTGGGGAATCTGTGCCGTCCATACAAATACATTTACAGACACCAAGACGGGGGCTCTGCCATTGATGGCCCGTGCTGGTAACGAGCTGTCTGCCGACAACACGTGTTGTCTCCAAATCTACATCAGTCAATATTTGGTCTGAGGCCTCGGGGGCAAATTAATTAGTCCAGCCAGTCATCTCATTTGCATAATCCCCCGTCTTATTCTCTAACGATCCCGCTGGCGTTCTCCCTGGCACGTAGCGAACTCATTAAAATTAAAAGTTTTAATTTACATATTTTTTTTTTAAATGGCTCTCTTATTGTTTTGTTCCCTTGTCCACCCACCCCTTCGCCCCCCCTCCCCCAGCTAAACAGACAGACACAGCAAGCTGGATGCTATTTGCATAGGACATATAAATATTCCTTAACCGCAGGCGATCCTCGGGACACACACGGCATAACATTGGGAAACCTAATTGATTTGCAAACGAGAAAAACGCACTCCCTAATTAGCATACCGTTCGCGCCAGGTTTCCCCATCCGCGCGCTCATTTGCATAAACATGAGCTGACGTGAAAGTGTGTGCGTGGGGGTGGGGGGGGGGATAAGTTATGGAAATAAACTTGAGGCCAGGAGTTTCCAACTCTTGTGAAAAGATGTTTAGAATGGGAACGTTATGCTTTTGTGTGTTCCAGTTTAAGCAGAGTGGTTGGGAAAGGGGGGGGGCGTGTTGGCGCCTGTACCATGTGCAGCAGTCAAGTCTATAGTATACCGTGCCGGTGTGAAGAGTGCCGCGAGGTTTTTAGTAATTTCACGGGAGTGCTGAGCGCGTTCGACTAGGTCTTTGTTGTAGTTTTGCCACTTACTGGACTTTGGAGGGATTCGTTAGTTCACCATCATGCATAATGTATGGCGCCATATTATGCACAGAATGTATTCATCTCAGCGGCGAGCCCCTCTGCATCTTTTTGAAGGGGTGCTTATTGAATGGTTCTGAAAGAAAGAAAAAAAAAGGGGGGGGGGGATTATATAGATTTGCGTCGATGCGTTTTCATGCTTATCTCGAGACACCCGTTTTTTATTATGCACAGAATGTATTCATCTCAGCGGCGAGCCCCTCTGCATCTTTTTGAAGGGGTGCTTATTGAATGGTTCTGAAAGAAAGAAAAAAAAAGGGGGGGGGGGGATTATATAGATTTGCGTCGATGCGTTTTCATGCTTATCTCGAGACACACGTTTTGTCTCGTCTAACCGTGTCATCTTCAATCTTGTAGTGTCTCGTTTAACGATGTCATCTTCAATCTTGTAGTGTCTCGTCTAACGATGTCATCTTCAATCTTGTAGTGTCTCGTCTAACGATGTCATCTTCAATCTTGTAGTGTGCACACGGATATTGGGGTTTACGCCGGCCGTTACAAATACGTGTTAGACTACCTAACAACAGTCTATTAGATCGACCAGCGGATAGAGAAAGGACCCAAATTATGTTCGTGAAATTTTGTCTTGGTTTCTTATTCTCACCAAGCTGCTTTCAAGAGTTTCCCCCCCCCCCCCACATGTGGTGAGAAGTTTGTTTGAAGCCCCTCAGCGTATCGCCTTTCTGGTCTCCGCCCCAGAATAGCATTAAGTTATGTGAGGACGAGGAGGGATGAAAGGGGTAAAAGAACAAAAAATCGGGCCGATTTGCATGAAGGCTTACTTCTGACTGCTCCATTTTATTTGTGTTGTCCGAACGTGCAGAGGGGGTGAATTGAGGCCGGCATGACGTAGCCTTGTGGTCCTATCATCCGATGAAACCGATACGTACCGGTGGGCGGTCTCCAAACCGGTGACACAATCGTGTGTTTTGTTGGGAAGTCTTCTTCTTTGCACTGCTTCTTGGATCATATCTGCCGTGAGTAGTCGATAGCTTTACCTTGTATATATTTGCATAAGCGCCCTGGGGCCACTACTAGCCAGCTGTGCCCCGGTATCAGCGGCGGTGTTGTGTGAGGCAAGTGTGCCACCACGTGATTTTGTTTTCCAAGTAATGTGTCTGGACACCGTAAGTCTTTCCGCTTAAAGGTATGCGAATATTTATAATATCATCACTAAGAAAATAGCCTTATACTTATTGATGTCCTTTCAGAAATAACGTCCATACGTGTTTGTTTTTTTCCCCTGGCAATTAAAGACGTCCTGCGTCATAAGTATAGGTTTCTTTAATGCAAGGATAGAGTTCGTTTTACACGACTTAAAAAAAATAATAAGTTTAAAACAAAAAACTTCTTTAAAAAATTAGTTTAAAAAAATTATTCGGGCTTAAGCCTATTATTTGTAATTAATTTTGTTTTTAAGTAAAGCTGTGGTGGAGGGCGCAACTTGAACACTTCTCTAACGCGTGGCAGACGATTTGTCCATCAGAACACCACCGATTCCGATAAGTTTCATCTTAAAATCAACTTTATCTCATATTTTTAAAAACAATTTGATGCACTTGTGCTTGTCGTAAAGGTTGTGATTACATATGAGAAACAGTTCTTTTATTTATTTTTTTAAAAACAGGAATTTATTTCTATTGTGGACATAATATGTAGAGGTTGTAACGTTCGTGCACCTGGAAAATGAACAGTTAGAATGGAAGATCCTTTTAGAAAAATACTTTGCGTTTGTTGACTTATTTGACTGCACCGTGAAAGCATTGGGCGTGACTTCGGTCATCTCGTCATCGTCGTGTCTTCTGCTAAGCCTATAAGTATTGGCGAAGTAGTCATTCACTGATTGGGATGACAGCTGGAACCAAACAAGAGCACTGCCTTTATCTTACGTCTTGCATGTACTTCTCCATCATCAATAAGGATACTTTAATCTATGTCTGTTATGGTACGCTTTCCCACCGCAATGTTCTACAATCTCCATCAACAATATGGATTCTTTACTCTATAGTATGGTACGCTTTCCCACCGAACTGTTCTATGATCTTCATCATCAATAAATATACTTAACGGTACGTCTGGTAGGTCACGGTTCCCACTGCAGCAATGCTCTACGGAAGCGGCGGCGTGCAATTCTCAAAAACATCTTTTGTGTCTTTGTCAGTACGGTTTATTTGGGGAATGAGATGGCTGTCATTAAATAACAATAATACCAATAATAATCTTCATCAGCTTAATAATCACCATAATAATAACCATAGTCAGAGCTAGAAATTTAGTTTCAGTTCCTCTGTCTTTCGTCTTACCCAGCAGAATGAGATGGTAACTGAAAAATATTTACGTAGTTGAAAGTACGAGAGGCGACAATCGTAGTTGAAAGAACGGGAGACAGCAATCATAGTTGAAAGTACGAGAGACAGAAATCTTAGTTGAAAGTACGAGAGACAGTAATCATAGTTGAAAGTACGAGTATCACAATCGAAGGTGATAGTACGAGTTCCACCGTGTATTTTTGCATCTCTAATCTATACCATGGGAGGGGGCGCTGCGATTCTAGTTTTCTTCTGAGCCCTTGTAACTCATCGGTTACTTGTCACATCATTTGACCCTACAGCACGACTGTTACCTAGGTTGTGCCCCCCTCCCCTTTTACATACACATAAAGTCAATGGGATAAAGTTGCAATTTCAGGTCAATGGCTAATTTTTTTTAGAGGGGATGGGGGGAGGGTCTTGGCAGTGATCGATTAGCATGTGGGTCACCTGGTCATGGTGCTATGGGGTAGACATCCCAGCGGTTTTGTTGTTCGCCCACTGGAACCCTTGCTCTCCCCCCCCCCCCCCCCCCCCCCCCCCCCCCCCCCCCCCGAACCCCTCCTTGGCCAATCTATACCCTTTGTACCCCGGATAATGGGACCACTTTGCCTTGTTTGTCTGACGACCTCTGATTGAAGACTCTGCCAGCAAGTTAAAGTGTTAATCTGAAACACGTGTTGGCTAATTCTAAACCCGACTGTTACCCTGCAGTTGTGTCGTGAAAGGACCATCACCTCGAACGCGACCGCGGTGGACCGTCAAAGGCGACGGTTGTTGTCAGAATCTAACCCTATAGTCAACGAGACAGTCCAGTCCAACCGCATCTTCCCTCCCATTGGGAGTGGGTGGTCCCAAAACAACTTCTAAACAAGTTTGGATAATCTTTCCTCATGGACGTCCACACCGTTTTACTTGTTGTGTACGGATGCTCTCGATTAAGAACATGACTCATGTAAAAAAAGTTTTTAAAAATATTTAAAAAATATAGACGTACTAAGCGTCAATACATTTTTTTTTTTTTTGAGGACCGGTGAGAAAAAATCTGCAATGAGCTTGTGTGCTAGATGACACTGGAAGTGGTGGTGTGTGGGAGAGGGTGGGCACGGATTTTTTAAATTTATTTAAGCCAGACTGATGTAAGGCCATAATGAATGGGAGAAGATTCTGGGATCCCATTTAATTATATGAATACTAACTAATGTGCGCAGGATACACATATTAAAGAGTTATCAGCATTGAATTTATTATAACGTATAGCTGCTCTTTGGCTAGCCCACTAATAGTTATTTAGACATTATCTTTTCTCCCCCCCATCTCTCCCTTTACTCTCTCCCTATGATGAATAGCCGTACCATTACAGACAACTCATGTGGACAGTTTACGTATTCTCCTCATATATTTTTTTTTCCAATTTCTTAACGTAGTCTGTGTCTAGTGTGTTCACGGCGCGCTCCGTTCATTCGTCCCTAGGATGAAAAGATCCCTGATTTGATATCAGAAATTTGACAGTGTTGCACTCCTGGGTTAATCCCTTTTTATAATGACCTTTTCCATTCTAATCTGATTGGCTCATTTCTAGATCTGCAGCTCGTATTAGTTTGTTTAATCTGAAGTTAAACTATACCGGTAGAAGATGTATGGACATTTATTTAAATAGTTTTGCTAAAAAAAAAATTATTTAAAAAAAAACGTGGCTCTAATCTTTCAAGTGAATCAGTTCAGAGAAACATAATCTATGTACCACCCCCACCCCAACTTATTTTCCCTCCTCTTTCATTATAAGCTCAGAATTTCCTTAAGTGTGATCTACCCTTATTAGAAGCCTTCCAGAAATGTACACCAAAGTTGAGAACCCTTGGTTGATGCTAAACAACTAAGCTCCCATCTTTATCCACATCATCATCAGAATTAATTTGATCTGAAATTCAAATTGTATACACTTGAACTTTGCTGGACATTTTAATTTAATTTTTCCCCTGTGTAAATGTATTTGCTCTAACCCTTGCCCGGGGATATATTTAATAACCAAGGATGTTTTATGCATGAGCACCTACATTACAATACTTGGTGTTGTGTTATGCTTGACTTCATGTACCTGCAGATTGGGGGTAAGTTGTGTAGGGCCACTAGAAACTGGCCTGAAATCATGAATATGAAATGACACAAAAATATAGGTTTATGTTCAAAATTAAAGTTTCTCTTTTTTTAAAATTTTATTTATTGCACATGGCTTTAATGTTTTAAATGAAAAATTCTTAATATTTTAAGCCAAACCCAAGAATAATTCTGCATGTCAATAGACAGGCCTGGTTTAATGCAATTCTATTCAAGCAATAAGTGATAGATGAAGATAAATAGGAAAATACAGAAATTTGATAGAGATATACCTGTTGAAAATCTTTTGTCACCAGACTCACACTTAATCTCTCTTACACATTTCCATACATTTCAGGAGATGGAGGCTCACTCAAGTCCTGGCAATGTGGTCCATCCCCAGCTCATTCAACAGCCCTATCCTGTGGGTATGTCCACTGCAGGAGCTGGACTGATTGTACAGAATCAGTTTGGCCAACAAGCAGTGGTCAGTAATTTCTCTTTAGTTTTTTTTTTTTTATATATGTTGGTCAGGAGTTGGTCAGTCATTTCTTTGTGGAGTTTTTAAAACCCTGGACATTGTAACAAAAAAACCTATACAAAGAAATCACTGACCCTTATATGTTTATATTAGGAAACAAAAGTAAAAATAAAGAAACATAATTTAATTTAGTCAATTGGTAATACTAATTATAGTCTTGGATGCTGTCAATCAAAACAATTAAGCAGCCAATTTTTTTTTTTACACTTGAATGTTGTGTTAAAGAATTTTAGTCCTTAGTTTTTCAACCATAAGATTCTTCTTATGCAATAAGTTTATTAATTTTTTTAAACGCTATTTTTTCTTTTCATTGGATTCATATGTTTTAAATGTTACCAATGACAACTTGTCTGGAGCCTGTGTTTTTTTTTTTTCAGATTCCTGTGTCATCTGCCATGCAAAATGCTGGACTAACACTGACATCAGAGGGCCTCCAGCAACTCCTGTTGCAGTCTCAGCTCCAGAAGGGCTTCAGTGCGGCCACTAACAATCAGCATCAGCAGATGGCACAGATTCTAAACCTCAGCGGTGACAACAAGGAGCTGAAGCAGTTGTTCCTCAACACCAATTCTGTAAGTCTCTTTGGTTTGGTGAGTAGGACAGGGGCACTGCTGGTAATTTTCTCAGTAACTTAAGCCTAACTTCTTTTACAAGGTTCACTTGTTAGTCTCAAAGCCCAACTTCTTTTACAAGGTTCACTTGTTAGTCTCAAAGCCCAACTTCTTTTACAAGGTTCACTTGTTAGTCTCTTAACCAGAAACTTATCTCAGCAAAAGTGAAAAAACAATTACTTGATCCTCACAGCAATAAAAGAAAACGAAAGCAAAAAATACATTTCAGAAGTCAACATCCCTCAGTTATGAATGCCCACACATTTAGATTGTCCCTTAGAAAGGGGTTAAGCAGACACAAACAATTACATGAAAACTTTCCACATAAATTATTTAAATAATTTTTAGTTATAAGAGATGATTTATTCTATATTGTTATATAATGAAAAAATAAGGTTTGAGAAATGCTTAAAATCATTAAAGTTATTTATGACAATTGAATGCCATTAAAATTTTCATTTTATCCATTTACTAGTGATATATACAAATTAGATAGCTGGTATACTTTCCTAAATAACTAATTTTGTTAATCCTCTGTTTTCCATTGCACCCAGAGTACTCCAACAAGCTTTGCATCGCTGAGATCCAGTAGCACAACGACAGCATCTGCCACCTCACCGCTATTTGCCACAACTACCTCGTCATCTCCACCCCACCATCACCAAGGCTTGTCCTCCTCGGCTATGACCTCATCCCTGGCCCAAGTACTGCAAGGAGCTCAGACTGTGTCCATGCTGCAGAATGGCCAGCTCCAGCAGTTTTTAGTAGTGAGCCCCTCACAGTTGGGCCAGCTGGCGGGCACACAGTTACTCATACCGAACCAGGTTGTTGTTACAGAGTAATACATTCTTATTGTAAATAAATTCAAAAATGTTTGTTCTCCATAATTTTTTAAACTAATATTTTTATGACATCTGTAATTTATTTTGTTCAATAAGTCATTTTGTTTTGAGCATACTCCAATAATGATTTTATTTGATCTATAAATACCTACCACATATGTATTCTGGTTTTTAGATTAAAAATAATGGTGAAACAATCAAATGATCAAATAAAATTTAGATAACAAACTAAAATTCTAGCCATCCATAAATTGATTAGATTAGCCAAAATCTCAACAAAGGAATATTGAGGTTACACATTTTAGCATTAAACACCATATCCAAAGTACATCTAGGTATGTGCGGGGCTACAATGACTTGTTAGTTAGTGATTATGGATTTTTTATTCTAATTATAACATGCTATCATGTTTAATATAAAATAATTATCTGTCTAAAAGTGGGTTATTTAAATATAGTTATTGTAAAATCAATAGTTTTTACATAACATGCTATCATGTTTAATATAAAATCATTACCTGTCTTAAAAGTGAATTATTTAAATATAGTTATTGTAAAATTAATAGTTTTTACATAAAATAATGTTATGCATTACTTAATTTTGGATTACATTTACAAGACTAATTTAGTTTATGTTACCGGTGTTCCTAAATGTTATCACAAGACTAATTTAGTTTATGTTACCGGTGGTCCTAAATGTTATCACAAGACTAATTTAGTTTATGTTACCGGTGGTCCTAAATGTGATCATTCTATGACTTTTTGGGGGAATGGGTTTTAATTTGTCTCCTCCTTTATTTTCTTTCTTGATTTCAGGCTAATATCCCTATGCTGTCCACCGGTGGTTTAATGCTGTCCCAGCAGCTGTCAAACCTAAATCAATCTCATCAGCACCAACCGCAAAACACTCAAGATTCCCCGGTGCGGTCACCTGAACAGAGTTCTTCCCCTCCAGCATCTCCACAGGGGAGTCCGCGAGATACCAACTCGCCCGTCTTGATGACCACTGGTGTTTTGGTAGGTTGGCTTCCGACGAAGATTTATTGGAGCCTTTTGTCTGAACTTGAATGATATCCTTTTTTTTTCTGCAAAACACCTTTCCTTTCATGTACTTAAAATTAAAACTAAATTCTTCTCCGATGACTTGTGCACTGTGTGTGACAACTGAAGGTGAAGTAGTTACCCTTTTGTTTTCCTTAGCCCTGTTTAGGTTTATTTGTTTAATTTTGAATACAGACATTGTCAGGTAATCCAGGCTGCCTGTATCACCTCGCTGTAACTGCTTTTCTCTATATAGTCTTTTTGTCTCCATACGCTCTTTGTCGAACTCTATAAAAATCATGCTCTCCAACACAGCTGTGGTACTTGGCAATCTTTTATTACTCTTAACAAAGCACTTGACACTTGAATTTACATGAACTATTGATGCATCATGTTTTTATTTGTGTTCCCACACCAGGAGGAGACCATGAATATTGACCTGGAAGAATTGGAGTTATTTGCCAAAACTTTCAAGAGGCGAAGAATAGAACTAGGTGAGATCACCTGGAGCAAAACCAATATTATAGAATGTTGATGGTTGTGAGGTTTAGGTTGAAATGCATTACTTTACTGGTGAGAAATTGGTTCAAAGATTGATTAGTGATGGTCAAGGCATAGTTTGAAATAAGCATTCAAATTTAATGTGACAGACTTATTAGAAATGTTGAATAAAATAGTTAAAACATATATTTTTTTTTTTTTAGATAATGTTTATGAGGTATTCATACAAAAATTTTGAAATTTTTTTTGCTTATCTCCAGAAAAAGGTGGATCACAATATTTTGTTAACAAATAAATTTTTGTGTTTTGAATTCCCAAATTGTTATTGACTTATCTGGGATAATTATTTTTAAATTTCAAATGATCTCATGTCATCATGAAAGGCTAAACTAACTAACATTAAAATATTCGTACACTTACAGGTTTTACTCAGGGTGATGTTGGGTTGGCCATGGGCAAGCTATACGGCAATGACTTTAGTCAGACAACCATTTCCAGATTTGAGGCTCTAAATCTCAGCTTTAAGAATATGTGCAAACTAAAACCTTTGTTGCAAAAATGGTTGCAGGTGAGCAACAGGGAAAAAAAAAATCTTCAATTTATAAAAGATGTATCAAATAAAAAAATATTTTTAAGAGTAAAAGAATGTTGGAGAGGATTATGCAGTCAAATTTGGCGTCAAAATAATTAAATTTATGCTATCTGCCATTTTGCTATTATTTTGCTAGTATGCTATTTTCCTGAGACTTTTTGTTAACCAGTCTACTCAATAAAACATCTTACTATAGGTATGTTAAAAAAAAAAATATACTGACCCTAATGTACATAAAATTGATTGGAAGAAACAGTGTCCAGTAAATTTGAATTGTTAGTTAGACAATTTGAATTGTTAGTTAGAAATAGTTGAATTCTTAGAATGATATTGCTACTGTAACAGAAGATCAGTAGTAAGCATTAGTTTAGTTAGTATACCTTGCCTTGGTTGTTACACGTGCTATTCACATCCGGATTGTGTCCTGAATAATGGTTTTAGCTTTTTGCCCTGCTGTGGTGGACATCCCTGTTTTAAACTATCAACCATTAAATGTTCCTGGCTACCTATATATTTATGTGAAAGTGAAATAGTTTTTAAAATTGTGACCAGGATGCTGATGCCATGTCCCGTAATCCAACTCCCCTCTCCCCTGGGGGTGCCGGAGGGGAGAGTGTTGGGAGGAGGAGAAAAAAAAGAACAAGCATAGATACTGTGATTAGAGTTGCGCTGGAGAAAAGTTTTCTGGGAAATCCAAAACCTACATCAGATGACATCAGCCTCATTGCCGATTCCCTCAACATGGAAAAAGAGGTACACTGAAATAATATACTATAATATGAAATTAGGAACGTGAAAAATGAGATAGAATTTATTTACCAGGAAATAAGAGAGAATTGCTTTCTCTTCGTTTCATTCATAAATTTTAGGAAGAACTTTTTTTAAACCCTAAAGATGATTTAAAAAAAAAAAAATTTCAGGGATAACAAATCTAAGATGCTTTAACTTCTAAAAATTGTGGTTAAGAGTTATAAAAGAATGGACTTAATGGATCTAAATCAGTTGATGCTTTAAGTTTAAATATGTTTCTGGATGTTTATATATACGGTACATGGGATTAATATTTGTGTAAATCAAGTAAAATAGTAGATGTCGGTAGTACAAAGCACTGGTTATGTAAATCAAATATAACTGAATCTCAATGAAGTCAATTATAATTTTAATACCATTTAATATTTTTCAGGTCATCCGTGTTTGGTTCTGCAATCGGCGCCAGAAGGAAAAACGTATCAACCCTCCAAGTTCCAGTTACAATCAAAATCACATTCAGATTATCAACCCCTCGGGGGACTCCTCCGCCAACTGTGCATCAAAATCTGATGGGAGCAATGCCAACATTCTCATCTCACACAACCAGCAGGAACAGCTGAACCAACTACTGAAACAACACCAGCAGCATCAGGAGAAGGAACTGCGGTTACAACGAGAATTTGAGGCAAAGCTGGCTGAAGCCTCAAACGGAGGCTCGATACCGTCATCCTCACCTCCACCTCAGACACAACAGTTGACAGATGACAAAAACGTTGTTATGGCATCGGTGTATTCCAACAGTGACTCTATGACCCAGTCTTCCAATCTCAGCAATTCCTCAACAACCTTGTCCTTGACAGGCATATCAAATGGGAGCTTACTCTTCTCCCCATCCATTCTGACGTCAGACTCTGGCCCAGTGAACAGCTCCACGATTCTTTCCCTCGCCTCCAAGGGGTTTGCACTCCCAACAACCAGCTCTTCAGCAATGTCTCTGCATCCAGCCTCGCAGCAGGTGAGCCTACAGCCGCAAACAACTCCAGCATTCCTGAAAGCCAACAGTGACACATCGAATTCCACCCAGTTCCAGCTCTTCTCACATTTATCCTCCAATGGAGACACTTGAGCTGTGTGCTTTATCTTAAGCGAGATGTTTTATGTTATATTCCCTGCTCGAAAGAGACTCTTGGTGGTCTTGGTTTTTGTGAATTTTTTTTTGCTGTCTTCAATCATGCAGTTCATGAGGTGATAAATAGTAAACCAATCAAGACTGCAATCATTGTTGCTTAGAAAATGAAAGGAATTTTGACCTTGGGATATCAAGCTCTATGGAATTGCTTTTGCTGATTTGCTATGGGAATATTTTACTCAGCAGACAGACAGTGTTTAGTAGACAAATTAGTGCCTAATGTAGAAACAAATCCAGTCCTTTTTAAGATGATGAATGCTGATAAGTTACATTAATAATCTTCAGCACTGAATCTACCACGTTTTGATTTCATGACTTTCTTCAGACAACAGAAATCCTGTCATATTTTTAAGAAAGCTATTCAAACAAAAACTGGATTAATCTATTAAAAAAAACTTGTGTGCTAATTCTCCAGTCCAGACTATAATTTTAAAACCAAATTTATACAATCTTTAAGTAGCTTTTGAGGTTGAATTTTGCCGTTGTTCTGTAAAGATTTTTTTTTTTTTTGGTAACATTGAGGCTTCTTCTCCCCTCTGCCCAGAGCTTACCCTTTTAATGGAATCTACAAAAATTAATGGGAACACTGGTTACATCTAACTGTAAAGAGAAAAATATATATCTCTGAGAAAAGATCATCTAATTTGGTGTAAATTTTTTGAATCAGCAAAATGTGTTATGTTGGGGATGACAGTAAGATGATCTGCTGAATTTCTGGATTTCATTCTCTGCTCCATATTTTTCAATGTGGCAGGAGTATTTCATGTTGTTGAATAAGACCAGTTATGCCATAACCACCAGTAAATGATAAAAGGTTAGTTATTTAGATGTTTCAACATTTTTCAATATATTTTTTTAAAACCTACCTTCATTTTATATTATTAAGACACCCACCCCCCCCCCCCCCCCCCCCAGGTAATCTTTTTAATTGTCCATTAATCCTTTTGACCCTGTTAACTTGAAATGATGTTAATCTTGTTTACAATCTTCCCTACTTTTGGTATATTCCTAATGACCTATGGAGCACACAAACTGTGCAAAATCCATTTATTTGTAAGAAATTTCTTTTGAAATTTGAAGGTTCATGGTTCACCATAGGATTGCATCAACATTTTAAAAAAATAGAAAATAGCCATTCCTTTAAACCCACAGTTTTAGTAGTCCTACCAAAATTTGAATTTAACTAATTTTCCCTTTTTTTTTTTTGGTCAATCAGGTTTGGTCTCTGGCTGCTTGAGCCATGTTGACTGATCTCATCTCATCTGAATGTATATTGTTTCTCTATTTTTCTAGCCTCAGAGGTGGCCAGGAACTGAAAGGTTGTGCTCCTGTCTGTGTGATTACCTCAGCTGTGCTGTGTTTTCATTTCTTTATTTGAATTTCATGGGCTGCTGCCACTACTATTATATCATCTTCACCAGGAATACATTATATTATATGGAGATTATAAAGGAGGATTAAGTAGAATCACACTATTAATTTTTAATTATTTTTATCAAGTTTGAAGTCTCCTGTCAACAAGTGAGGCCCTGCACTCCTAAATACTGGTGACTTAACTTTTTTTTTTTTTTTTACACAAGCATTTTAAAACATTTTTGTTCTTTTTCCCCCTTGGATTTGTTCAAAGTATTTGTTTATATCCTTCTCCTGTCAACAAGTGAGGCCCTGCACTCCTAAATACTGGTGACTTAACTTTTTTTTTTTTTTTTTTACACAAGCAGTTGTAAACAGTTTTGGTCTTTATCCCCCATGGATTTGTTCAAAGTAATTGATTATATCCTTCACCAATGTTTAAATCCTTTAAAATGTAAGTTGGACATGTTTAATTTGAAAACTTATAAATATTGTTTGAAGAAAACATTCTTTTGTCTTCATATTATGTTGTTTTTTTTCTGTTTGATAAAACTTGGTTTTATTTAGTTCCACTAGTGTGTGTTTATTTGCACCATTTGAACATGAAAAAGATTATAGTTATAGCTTTAACTTATGATGACATCTTGACAAAATATGTTCCAAGTAATGTGCATTTTTATCTCTATGTAAATAATTGAAGCAATCCATAAAAACTGTATTATTTATGAAAGTTAGAAACCTGCAATGTTTTTCTACTGCCATAATTACATGTAGAGAATCTCTGTTTCAGACATTTTGTATAGTTTTTTTTTTTTTTTGGTTTAAATATGTATTTATAAAAAAATATGTTTATCCATCACTTTTTCAACCTGTCACAGGGTTTTGATGAAAAAAAATGAAAATAATTTTAAATAGTTGTTTTTATTGGGTTTTTTTATATTTTTTTTTTTTTTTTTGGTTTAAATATGTATTTATAAAAAAATATGTTTATCCATCACTTTTTCAACCTGTCACAGGGTTTTGATGAAAAGAAATGAAAATAATTTTATATAGTTGTTTTTATTGGGGCATTTTATCTACTAAGAAGTGGCCTAATATTTTATTGGGTAAATCCAAATACAATTGCAACCTTTATATGCGATAGTTCGTCTCATCTTGTCTTTGGATCATGATTTATCTCAGCAGTGCTACTCAGTGCTGTGTCTTGAGGCTGAAAAGCCCCCCCCCCCATCTGAAAAGGAAATAGAAAGTAATATTTAAAAAAATGGGGGCAACTAAGCTCATCATAGCACCTTTTCTGTTTGGTATTGAATCTACAGCTATTACCGGTACAAGTTGAAATATTTTACATCTTTACATCTTTCATTTGCAAGAACCGGTTCCCAGTGTTGGCAGCATTCAATTGTTTTCCGCCATCACCACATAATGATAATATAAGACACATCAATGGTAGGGTTTGTTGTGTTTTCTGCATTTAAAAAGGTGTTCACTGATGGTTTTACAATAATTTTATTTTTTCAGTAAAATGTAAGCCCCAACTGCAGCTTTAATTTATTTTTATTTTTTGTTGAAGTTGAAAAAAAATATTTTTGTATCTCCAGATTTGTACTGTGTACAAATAGTGAAAAAACTAATTACTTGTATTTTGCTTTATTTTTATGACAATTTGACAAAAATGAGGGTTGAAATAATTGCAGGAAATACATATGCTATTTATGATAATAAAATAGACAACTTATAACAATGCTTTATTGACATTGTGTTAGGGTGTTTGTTTCTTGGTAAGTTATAAATTAACAATCGGGGATGTTTTTAGTAACATATTTTCACAACTAACTGATAATAAAGGTTAACTGCATAAAAGACCTGCAGATTTTAGGACTTTTAAAAAAAAAAAGTTTATGACCAAGATGAATTGTGGATTTTGTAAACCTTCACCCAAACTCTCAATTTTACAGTCCAATCTTTTATTAGCACATGCAAGTGGTTTTAAACAAATTTAAATTTAAAAAATGCATTGATAACCATAAATAAATAAAGGACAAAAATTGCATATTACAAATGAACACTTAGATAAAAAAAATTGTAAAAATATTTTTCTTTCAACGGATCTCATCTTCAAGCTGATCAGCAAACCAAACCACCTGGTGACTTGGGGAAAGTCTCCAATTTCTGCGTGGAAGTTGGCCATGTGTGCTTCAAACTGAGACAGCTTTATTACTAAATTGGAAGTTTGTAATAAGTGTTTATTCCCAACTAATTCCCCTGATCTTTCCAAAGACTCAAATTAAAAACACTATTATATCACGTTTATCTGAATTCTTTTGTGCCCTTATTTAGAGCAAAGATCAAAATAATAAAACATTTTTCTAAACATTTCAAATGTGGTATTAGCCACTGTGCAGCAGAATTATAATTTTAAACATGCTATGTACTGCAAAATAAGGATGAAATGACAACTTCTTCATATACTTTACATTTACCATACAGTAGACTAGAGTTTTAAAATATACAGAAAATTAAAACGATAATTTTCTTCAGATATCCCTGTTTGTAATGCTTCCATTATTTGGTCTTTACAGTGAGTATAAATTAAACCAGATCTTAATTACGCTGGATTAAAATTTTCCAGACTTTCTTTTTTGTTTTAAATTGTAAATTAAGAGTTACAGTATATTTACAAACATATCTTCATCAAACAGAACTGAAGCATAGTTGCTGGTTAATATTTTAAAAACCGGAACAGACATTGATAATTCAACACAACAAAATCTCTACATTCTACAATTACAATTTCTCAAGTAAATGATTGACATTTAGTAAGAAAAACTATAAGAAATCTGCTGTTAAGAGAATAACAATTTTGTAACAGCTAGAGGATAGAATGTAGATATTTAAAATTAAATATTTACCCAAAATTTTCATTGAACAACTGAGGAAGATTTTGGGTGCAGTTGCTTTATTTTCTAAATGTATTCCCCTAAAAACAATTTACAACCTGCAACTGCACCACAACAAACACAAACTATGACCTTTAGCGACAGAAATGATAATTATCACATTATTAAACATGTAAATGTAACGTCCCAATGATTTCTTTAAAAAAAAAACAAAAAAAAAACTATATGTTAGAGCTGTTAGTCTACACTTGCTATTTTTACAACCTATTGTATAAGACATCATTTTAAAAAAAAACAACCTTAAAAAGAAATAGTACACTCTTTTGATAAAATATTGGAATTTTTAAAAATGTACATCATATAAACAAAGTAGAGATGTCATTGCCAAGGTTCAATATATTTTGTCAGACCTAGTAACTGAAAATCAAATGTGATAAATGAAGAGTTTAAGTACACTTTTAAGATCAATACAGATGAAATTTACAACAAAAGCAAAGAAAGTTTTAAAACTTCAAAAAGGTTTACACACTTGCTGCAATAAAATATTTGGCACCAAAGAAAAATATTGTTTTCATCATTATTGTCCTCTCCCCCTCCCCTCCTCCAATCTAACTTAGAAGCAAGTTCTTTCTAGAATGTTAACATAAAATATAACTGACCTACAGCTTGCTAAAAACATTAAGTTTGACAGATATGGGAGAAACACTGTATAGAACTGGTTTTATCATAAAGACAAGTATAAATATAATTCAAAATAATAAATTCATGACAGTAGTGATTTAATTTGGAAAATATTTATTAGGAAATAAAATTAAAAAATAAAATGAAAATTCTTATAATTTTCTTTTAAAAGCCTACCAAGTTGCTTTATTTTGTAAGAGAAAAGAATTTGTACTTAAAATAAGTACAAAGGTGTAGTTAAAAACTATGAAGATCTCATATTTCACTGCAAAGCTCTAGATGTAAGTAAGGTCACCCGTTCTGAAATAATAAACTCAAATCAAATATTGATATTAAAAATTGATAAAAGCAATGACATCAACAAAAGGCCAAGGGGCACTACATGGGCAATGAAGACGATGAATGACATCACTACATGGGCATGCAGCATCACTACATGGGCATGCAGCATCAC